TAAGAACCTAAAATGTAAACAGACTACTTACTCCAATCAAAAGACATAGGGTAGTAAAATGGATAAGAAAACATGACCTATATATATTCTGTCCACAAGACACCCACCTCAGAACAAAACATACAGACAGGAAGTGAAGGGATGGGAAAAAAATATTCCATGCAAGTGGAAATGAAAAAAAAATTGGAGTAGAAATACTTATATCTGATAAAATACACTACAAAATAAAGGCCATAACAGGGACAAAGAAGGCCACTACTCAATACTAAAGGAATTGATGCAACAAGAGGCCATAACCCTTGTAAACATATATACACTCAATATAGGAGCGCACATATAAAACTTTTGGTGGACTTTAAGGTAGAAATTGGCAGTAATACAGTCACAGCAAGGGACTTTAACAACCCACTATCATCAATGGATAGATCTTCTAGACAAATAATCAACAAGGAAATTGCGGCCTTAAATGACACTGGATCAGATGGATTTAACTGATATTTAGAGAACACTTCATCCCAAAGCAGGAGAGTATACATTCTTTAAGTGCTCATAGAACATTCTCAAAAAAAGTCCACATGTTAGGACATAAGAGAAATCTTAACGAATTCATGAAAACTGAAATCATATTAAGCATCTTCCAGGATCACAATGGCATGACACTAGAAATCAACTAAAATGAAAACACTCAAAATCATTCCAGCACATGGAGGCTAAACAGCATGCTTTTACACAATCAATGGGTTACCAAGGAGATCAAGGAAATAAAAAATTACTTGGAAATGAATGAAAATGAACACACAATAACCGAAAATCTACGGGATGCACAGAAAGCAGTCCTGAGAGGGAAGTTCACTGCATAACAGGCCTACCTCAAAAAGCAAGAAAAATCTGAAATATACAATCTCACCTTACACCTAAAAGAACTAGAACTAGAACAATATGAAAAGCCCAGAGAAAGTAAAAGGAAGGAAATAATAAAGATCAGAGAGTAAATAAACTACGGTGTCTAAAAAAACAATACAAAAGATCAGAGAAACCGAGATGGTGGCATAGGTAAACACCGGAGGTTGCTGCCTTGCACAACCACTTCAAAAATACAACTAAAAGACGGAACGGACATCATCCAGAACCACAGGAAGGCTGGCTGAGTGGAAATTCTACAACTAGAAGGAAAGAGAAAAGCATACCGAGACTCAGAGGAGGTGCAGTGTGAAAGTAAAATACAGAGGTACAAAGGCGCTTGCGGAGCAGGCTGGCGGCTGAGGTCATGGCTGTCTTTTTCAATTGGGAGGGAGTCTCAAGCTCTGAGCTCCAGTTCCAGGTGAGTCTCTGGGGACCCAGACTCATACGGTAGAAATTGGACTGTCTGGGATTGGTCGGAACTCGAGGACAGCTTTCTCTCCGAGGTGCTAGCAGCGATTGCCAGGGCCTCTGAGGGCAGGACTGAAAGCACCCATACTGCTCACTCCACCCTGTTGATCCCCTGGGACCCTTCCCTGCCCAAGCCCTGCAGGAGGCTTTTGCATATGAAAGGCCTGGCCCTTTGCAATCTGATCATTACCTAACAAACTGCAG